CTTGTTGGAGTCCACGGTTTGTTAGGATCTTCTACGTTTGCTCTGCGGATGTTTGAAAGTCGTTTAATTCACCGTTAGCGGTTCTTTTCACTCGGAATACGAAAAAGACATTTTCCTTCTTCCGTGCTTCTATTTGTGCATCCGATAATGCAGCAGGAATTTACCATTATCGGGGATAAATACGCGAGGTTACGCACTGTGTTTGACGCTATCCTGTTTCTTGCCTCCGACCAAAATATTTCCCAGCAGCAACGCGGGCTTTTAATAACAATGACGTCAGCTGAAACTCGCCTATATGAGACAGAATCATGGAGTGAACATTTGTGCCGCATACAGAGTCATAAAAGATCTTACTTGTCTAAAATTCACTAAGTTAAAATGAACTGTTTTTGTGAGGCGCTTAAATTACCATCAATAAACTTGGCCCGGGTAGACTTGAAAAGTGAACACAGAGTGATTTCAAAAGTGAACATAGTGTGATCTTTGAGTGTTCAAGCCCCGTTGACTCTTCCTCGAAAGGAGGAGGTTTATAAAGCACGTGTGGTGAGACTATGAAGGCCAGTAGACACCGGTTAGACAGCAGCATGCCGTAATTTAGATAATGGTGCCAATGGTGTGCCAGGAGAAGATCACGGTTTAAATATAGCTTTTGTGAGTCAAGGTAAAGTACTTAAATTCTCTTACGAAGTGGACTAAGCGAGTGTGACGCCGCCCACAGAGTTCAGAACAGTTCAAAATAGAGTCAGTTCATCTGAAATCAGCCGTTTTCAAGGAATCTCCCCTATGAGCCTCAAATTTGACTCAAAAAAAAAAAAAAAATTCTAAAATCACCAAATTTGAGCTCAATCCCTTCAATCGTTCCTAAGTTACAAACCGTTGAAATTTTGGGGCCATGCTCACTTTTTCAGAAACTTAATTTATAAGCATGTCTGAGAGACCATAACTTCATAAAAAATAGAGCTAGGCTTGTAGTTTCTTGGTCATAAATTCTGAATCCGTTGTCAAATATTGGGTATCTTTATTAAGTGGGCCCCCAAAATCTCACATTTGGTTGCCGCTCAGTTTTTGTTTTGTTTTTCTCATTTGTTGAAGTCCAAGATCGATTTACTCCAAGCAGATATTTACAAACTAACTGCTGAACCTGAATATTTGAGAGAATGACCATTTCTGACAACAATCTCACACTTTTCTGAGCTTTTATGTGGATTGTGTAGAGTCCCAAATATGGACACAAACATAATGTGATCTTTTTGGCCCCTTCTTTGGAGCCTCGGTTCCCCATGTGGGCACAGTTAGATGGTGATAATTTTTTTTTCTACCAGAGAAACTTTGGCATATTCTGATTAGTTTCTCTGATATTTTCTAAAACACAACAGTCTATACTCTTTTTAAAAGGTTTCTACAGTGTTGAACTGTTTAAAGGCATTGCTCTGATTATTTTACAAACCAAAATCTCTACCAGAAACACAATCACTTTCTTCCTCGTTCTTCTTCTTCTTATTTTTTTCACCCTGTTTATGGTCGTACAAACTAATAATAACGTTAATGAAGGGACAAAAGTTTATCGTTTATGATCGTGCGAAACAAACAACAATGAGAATGAAAGAACGTAAGGATTTTTTTGTTTTTCCTTTACGGTCGTACAAACTAATATTAATGTTAAGGAAGGCGAAAAAGTTTATCGTTTATGATCGTGCGAAATAAACTACAGTGAGAATTAACAAATTAAATAAAAATAAAACATTTCAGGACATTTTGTTTTCGTTTATGGTCGTGCAAACTAATACTAACATTAACAAAGGCACAAAGGTTTATTGTTTATCATTGTACAAAATAAAAGTTAATGTTAAAGAAAATTTTAAAGAAGAGCATGCGTTTAGTAGTTAATAGTCTTGTTTTGATTAGTTTAAATTAATAAAACCATCTACTATTAACTTCCTTCATTTCAAGCGGAATTTTTGAAAATGAGTTCTCATGAGTCATTTTTGGTGGAGCTTAGGGACTTTTCTACCTGCAGAAAGGTTCAATGACCTTTAATAGACTTAAACACTAATTATTTGTTGTAAGTGAAGACAATTGGAGGTTATTTGTGGTACACTGTTTGTGATGGTTTTGGTGTCGCAGTAAAACGCTCGACTGTGTCACAATAAAACGCTCGACCAGTCTGCAGACAACCTGACCTCACTCCACACTTTCATATTTGAAGTACAAAAAGTCACGTTCCACGGGCAGATCATTTTACTTGTCAAGTGAAATTGACTCAAATCATGATAAAACTTTCTTAACTCATCTTCACTTGTGTGTAATATCTGTTAGCCTTAAAACTACCACTGAATGACATCACGAGGTGGAGCGGAGCATTTTCAGTTGAGCCTAATAATCCGAAATTACTCAAACGTGTGTGAACTCCAGCTTTATTTTTGAGGAGGTATTATAACCGCATTATAACATGGCTAAACGTGCCACCTTGTGATGTCATGGGGTGTTCGTTTTCAAGTGTTACTCTTTTTACTTTTAGTTTAGTGCAGATCGGCAATTCCAGGTCTGAAATTATCCAAAAAACACCACAACTCCAGGTCTGTTTGTGATGAGGAAACTACATTATAAGCCTAATATTGGCCCTTTAAAGCTGCATTCTGTAACTTTCTATCTCCATGGAGACGCATCTGGAGAGTGGACCCTGTTTTGTTCCAATGTCTTCACTCCGCTGCTACCAGAATTTTACAGTTTGCTAAAAAACAAACAAACATACAAGTAGTATTTTTATTACAGTTCATTATAACTTTGTATTTGTTTTGTTTGTTTGTTATACTTGTTTAATTATTATTTATTTTTAAACCAAGTGTTAAATAATTAAGTGAAATATGAAATAAATGTCGTCAACGCAGAAAATTCCATCCGAAATGCGAGGACAGTTTACGCACAAGGAAGGTATAAATAACTCTCATAATTGTTGTTACTATTTCTGACATGTTTGTTTGGCGCGTGTTTACAAAATGTTTGTTATGCAGCGTCGCTAGGTTCTGGAGTTACGTCTCTACCTATGTCATAACCGCCGAACGCGTCCAAGCAGGAAGTCACATTATAACCGCAATCTAAAAATAAAATTAAAATAGAAAATAAAAATAAGGCTCTATGTTTAGTTAAAATGTTAAATATAATTGTTAACTATGTTTAGTTAAAAAATAATAATAATAATAATAAACCCAAATTAAAAAAAAAAAAAAAAAATTATATTAAATAAAACATAAAATAACATATTTTAAATAAAACAAAATAAAATAAACGTTGACGCGTCAATGGCTTATGAAATTACCTCTACCTATGACCTAAAAAAAAAACAACATAAAAATAATGCTCTATGTTTTGTTAAAATTTTAAATATAATTGTTAACTATTTTTAGTGAAAAAAAAAATACAAAAAATACAAAATTAAATAATACATTAATTAATTTAACTAAAAAAAAACATAATCATAAATACATTTCATATTAAATAAAACATAAAATAAAATATTTAAACTAAAATAACATAGTGTTGCTAGGTTACGAAATTACCTCTACTTATGTTCATAACTGCCAAACCAGGAAGTCAAATTATAACCGCAAAAAAAAAAAAAAAAAAAAACATAAAATAGATAAAAAAATAATAATAATAATATACATTATTATTATTATTATTATTATTATTTAAAAACAATAATAAATTAAATATTTAATAAAACTCCAATAGATAAAATACAAAAGAGAAAATTCATGCTACTAATGCATGTTTAAAAATAGAAGACAGTTCATATGGATGAAATTAGTCATTTCTAAACTGTTAAATTCACTTAAATGCACAATAATACAGCCTTTAAATTAAAATAACAGTGTTATGTAACTCGTTTGTGGTTCACTGTACAAACAGGTTCAAACAGGTGGAGCAGATGTGATCTGTGTGACTCTGGCGCCCTCACATGGTGGAGTTTGATACTGCAGTTGAATATAACCTGCACTGGTGTTTTCATGGGCTTTAGTTTCCTGTTACATGCTACATTTTCAGGTTTTTTTCCTTCCAAAAGATTTTATATTTTGTTTGAAAATGTTGGAAATGGACATAGATTCTCACAATTCTGAAGCCCATGGATCTCTGCTCTAATACTCCAGTCACCTTTTGAAAATGTTTACTACTTTTTACATTTTAGATACAGACTTTTAATATATGGAGCAAGATGAATGGAATTATAGAGCAAAGAAAAAAGTGAAATAACTCAACTAAATATTTTTTTAATAGACCTATTGTATTTTCAAATCCTCAAAGTATCCACCCTTTACTTTGTGGACAGTGCTGCAAACCCTTGGCCTTCCCTTGAAATGGTTTTCTCTTCACACTTTGTCTGGAATGTTTCACAGTTTGGTATTGAATATTTCTATCTTCATGGAGACTTTTTGGTTGGGGGTCCATCACCTGCATGTTTCTATGGATACGTCATTGCTCTGTCTGGAATGTTCCACAGTGTGACATTAAACAGCTCGACTTTACCTTTATTCAGTTACAGGTGGTTTTATAGCTCAATAATACCTCGAAAAACAAACATTCTGATTGGGAGCGAGACCACCTCTCCACAGATCTGATATTACAGAAATACTCTTTTCATTTAAAAGTTAGTCCTTGTACAATGTCCTTTTTATTTTTAGTTTGGTAAGTAATTAAACAGAAGAGATGTAAGGGTGGAAGAGAAAAGCAAAACAAACAAGAAAAAAAAAGGGGGGGGGATTATTCTTGTAATTAATTTTTAATTTTTATTTTTTTTAAACTGCTTTCCTTACAATGTTCTTTTTAATTACACATTTACACAAGTGCATGTAACAGCTCTAAAGTGTCTCCAAAAACCAAAATCTCTCTTTTTCTCATAAATATTTCTTATAACTGGATAAACAATAGCTATGTATTGTGCCATTCATTTCCATTTTACTATTTCGATTCCAAACCTTGAGCTTGTTCCTTGACTCCAGAGC